GGACTTCTCGAACTAGACCTCTCCAATCTAGTTACGCTGGGGCGAATGCAACTTGCTTCTCTGCCAGGCGGGCAATCAAACCGTACGACTGGCTAAGTCGAAGGAAGCGTGTTTACCCCGTTGGCAAGCGCTGGTCCTGCTTCTCGCGCCCTGGGCCCCGTCTCCTCAAACCACTGCTGCTCCTTGCATCTGGGCGTCCCTTTTGTGAGGAGACGCTTCTTCGCCACCCCTAACAAACATAAAATACCCTCACCTCGGTCCCCTTTCCAAGCTTCCTTTTCTTCCATGAAGTTTGCGCACGATCTTCCCAAAGGTCAAGAAGAACAGATTGTTGATCACGAGGACACATAGCGGTATAAGATTCACCGCTCCAGCTCAGACTGTTGCCATTCAGGACCAGCCAGAACGCTTGCGATCAGTTCGCCCACTCTGGCCTCGATCCTTGGACGTCAAGCATTATACGACCTCTGTCCTCCACAGACTTGATTCCGGAAAGACCGTTTTGGTCATCTTGAAATTTTGAGCCCTTGGAAGTTTCGCCTAGGTAAACCCACCGGACAGAGACTTGCCGCAAGGATCCTCGCCAGCCCTTCGGAACTAACTTGACCGCATTTTCTTCTCATCTCTTTTTGTCTTGTCTGTTTCTGTTCTTCGGGACCATATCGCATATTTGGACTGCCGCTCCGTACGTTTGCGAGGAAATGGCACAGCCGGACTTTGCCTACAGGCCTTCGGCCGTCACCAAGGGGCCGTGGAGCTCTTCACGCAGGTGCGGGCTATTATGAGAACGGCTTTCTTGATCCAGACGTGTTAGCTGACATGAGAGAAGCCCCATCATTTACCAGGATGCCTATCCCAATGGAGCAGGTTATGAGAATCTGAACAGCTCATACCGACCAGCGAGGTAAGACGAGATCAGTGCTACCCCAATCGACGGACTCCTGAAATAACATCCATAATCTTCAAGCGTGACTTACAATACTGGGTCTTCTTCATCCTACAACCTTCCAGCCAGCGTATCGCTTATTACCAACGGCCACGGGCGCACGGATTCAGCATATCCAGCTTCGCCTCCGTATGGTTCCCGACCTCCGTCCGGCTCCTATGGAAACAACGGTGCCTCCTATGGGTCGTACAACAGCACTGCCTCCCAAGGCTGGGATCACCAAGGCAGGTTCTCGCCCTCTGACTCTATGGATGATATCATGGCCTCACCCAGCCTCTCGGATTACTCCTTGGACAATAGCGCAGGGACTACCCCACCCGGCAAGAGCAAGTCCAGTGGGAAAAGCCGCTCTCAGAGGCGGCCGTCAAATCGGGACGAGTTTGATGGACCACACCAGTTTTTGCAACGACCACCAGCGGAATACATCGCCATGCAGGAGCGGGAGCTTCCACACCTTCCGACAAACCTTCTGGTACAAGAGCAGGATAGTGTCCTGACCCAGGTCAACGACCGGTTGTCCCAGTGTGCATATGATTTCGTGGCAAAGTATCAGTTCCCGATCCCGTTGACACAAGACATGAGACCTGTCGAGCGACCGCAAGACAGGGAATGGACTGAGTGGGTTTACCTGCTCAAACGCCTAGCTACAAAGCGGCGTATACCCGCCCGGGTACTTTATAATGGACAAATTAAACAGTTTGTTACTATCCTTGAGAATTCACTGGAGATGCGGCACGCCGCCAAGCATCAATCCCGTCCTCTCAAGGACGACCGGAATATACTCCAGCTTATTTCGGCCGGAATCCAGGTGGCCAAGATCCTCAAGGATGCCCAAGCCATGGATTACTTGGATAAGTTATACGTTTCCACGGAACAGCAGATTCAGGAAAGGGCCGCAG